CCCCCCCCTCCCCCCCCCTCCCCAAACAAACCTTCCAGCCAAGTTGGAGTTTGTTTACTGATGTCAACTACAACCCAGATTACCAAAGGCACAGCAATTAAAGTGGGATTAGTGGCTTTTCAATACAATTACTGTACAGATACGCCCCCAGGCTTGGGAGGCAGGCTGGGCAGCCTGGCTCTGATTGGCTTCTGATGACTGATTTGGGATGAATGTTAATGGATTGCAAATTAGATCAATAACCCAGGGACTGGCAGAAAGGCAAGCATTGGACTTTGTCATTTAAATATCCATAAAACATGGTCTGGGCTGCTTCCTGCCACTAATAAGCCCAAGGGCAGACCTTGGAAGGTGGGCTCTGACTGGCTGAACATGTCAGGGGAGCCCTTCCTGAAGATTCTTACTTTACTAATGAAAGCCTTGGCCTCTGGTAGCATGAAATGGGGGGGGGGGACGTGGGTAGGGGCTAGGGCTGACATCGTTCAGGTTTCTGTGATCCAAAGGCGTGACCTTCAGTGCCGGTCACTGCCCCTGCCGCGTGCCTTCTTCCCTTGGAGCTGGGCCCATTTACCTTTCCAGGAAAGCCCATCTGGAAAGAGCTGGTGGCAAGCGTGGAAAGTTGGTTATTTGCTTCTAAATGTCGTTTCTGAATTTTTGAGGAGAGAGGGGGTGATATTCATGCATTGGGGCTTCAGGATCAGGGGACACTGCGGGGACGGCCGTGAGTAGATTGGGTTGGGGGAGACTGGGCTTGAGCAGGTTGGGAAGGACTCTGTGAAGGAATGACATGCGGCCGCCAGGCTGTGCAGGAGCCTGAGGGGACAGGGAGGCAGGCTCAAGGACAGTGGGAGTGAGTGGGCCCGAGCACGTTTCTCGGCCAGAGCGGACTGCCACAGCCTCCATTTACGGTTTTCTTAAGTTCAGTTCCTGCTCCTCCCCTGGACACCTCCATATTCATTTCCTTCACTGTCCCCTCCCTCAGAGCAGTCACATTTGGGGTTTCAGAAAAGAAAGCTTCTGGATTTGTGGTGGGCAGGGGAGAAGGATTTTCATACTTTTCTGACGCTCAGAGGCAAATACATCTCTTTATAGGACAACAGGGGAAATGCATGGATTTCTAGCAATGTCTAAATAGTTCTGAGAGAAGGACTCCCTATTGCCCAAGCCTGGGAGGGGGATGTTTTGGGGAGCAGGCTGAGGCTGGCTGCAGGGACAGCATGGGGGCTGCAGAGTGAGGCCCCTGTGTCTTGGCTCTGCCCCGGGACTCCCCCGCAGGCTGGATCTCCAGGCAGCCTCCCGACCCACCATGGGGAATATCACTAATTCCTGCTTAAGCACCGGCTCATGTGGCCCCCTCCTCTGGCTTGCACTCTGCCCTCCTCTCTGTCCCCTAAAGCCACCTCCAGGGACCCCATTCCAGTGCCACATTCCAGGGAGCCTCCCCACACGAGCTGGTGGGTCTCAGGGTCCTCTCTGAACGCCCCTGCTCTTTGCTCTCTGCTCTAGGTGAAGCAGCTCTGCGGTGCTCACACATCCCGTTTGCATCAATGTGTTTTTGTTTCGTGGGGTGAGCCTTGGTTGCACTCTTAGGAGCTCACAGTCCGCAGGTGGCTGTGTCTCCTCTAACCTGCTGAGGACGGCGGGTAGGAGGGGTGCCTGCTAATACTTCAGGGCCCGCTGATGCAGGTGACAGCTACTGTAAGGGAAAGGGCAGACAAAGAGCTTCCAGAGACGGTCAGGGACACAAGCACGAGGCGGTGTGGCTCTTGCTCTGTCCTGGCAGTGCAGGCACTACAGCGCTTGTCAGTGTTAACACTCTTTCCTGTGGAGCCCTGGCAGCCTTCTCTCCTCTTCAGCAAAAAGCTCCAGCAGTGTCAATCAGTCAGAGTTCACACAGGAGATGGATCCTATTCACAACCTCAGAGGTGAAGGGTAGATGGCATCTGAATGAATGACTCAAAGGCAGCTTTGAGGTCTGAATCTATGCTATTGGACACCAACCAGCAAACAAAAGGTGCTGTCCATAAATGCAGGAAAGTCGAGGGGCACAGGGTTCTGGGGGGAAGACGGTAAGATGTGCTGTGGGCATTTTACACCTGGGGTTTCAGGGGTGAATGTCTAGTGGGCAGTTAGGACCACAGGACTGGCCGAGTTGACTTGGAAGCCACCTGCCTAGAGGTGAGCATCGAAGCCCTGAGCACTCTTGACTCCCTCCTGGGGACATGAGTCCACTTCCAGCCAGCACTCTGGGGTTTTTCAGTGCCAAGCACATAGTCAGAGCTCGTAAAAACTTACGGGATGACGGGATGGGCAGTTCAAGAGGATGAAGGACACAAAGGAAGGCAGAATGTAAAGGCTTCTCTGGGTGTAACGACACGCCAGCTGCCAGGACACCCCTCGTCAGCCCCAAGTCTACATGCAGAGGTGATGAAGTCACGGAGATGTCAGATGACACAGAAAAGGAGTTTCCAGAGGGAAGGTGTTTTTTCTGGACAGTGTCACAACACGTTCACCAAAGAAAGACAGAGTTTCCGTGTGAGATCTTACTTAATTGCTAACCTCTCAAGGACAGAAATCACAGGCTCTGCCTCTTCTGGGTTGTTACCAGAGTGAGGATCTTGGTTCTGAACACAACAAGCTCAGGGCAGCACAAGCTGCCAGGCAAGGAGACCACCTGTGTGAGGCCGTGAGCCTTCCCTGCATGGCGATCCCAGAGACGTTTTGTTTTTCTTTTTAAAGGAGAAAAAAGCAGCACTTACTGTAATCGTCAATCTCGATTTTCTTGTATTCTACTTTAGGCATCTGTCGGTCATTTACGGCTTTCTGCACGTGTTCATTTGTTTCTAGGTCGAAAATTTCTGAAAGAGAGAAAAAAATATCACATTGAGATTTAGTCATCCTTTACTGAGTACCTATGTGAGCCGTGGGTTTTCATGTGCATCACACCCCTAATTCTTACATCAGTCCTATTACTATTTTTATTGCACAGACCGAGAAACCGAGACATTGAATCACCTGCTCAGGTTACACGATGGAAAACCGAGTCTCACATCAGGAACCCGGGCAGATCAGAGATTCTGTCCACATATTAGGCTACCACCTCCTCTGTCCCCACAGACTTTTGTTCTGCATGACATTTCTCATTTACGTGTATGGGTTTTGGTATGATTCATCTCAAGACTGCTGGTTTTAGGAAAATCAACATTAAAATCTGTTAAGACAAAAGGTTTTCCAAATAAAGTGTCCATAATAACCAGGGAAGGAAGGGAGAGTAGAAACTAGAGTGTTTTCTTTATTAAATTTTCCCACGAAAAAATGAATTCAGATTTCTTATCTTAAACATAAGGTTGTCTGGTCTTTGGAGACCTTAATTTGGATGGTTATATTCATTGGCATTAAAGCCACACGAGCAGCACGTTATGGTGTAGCGGGACTGACCATCCATCCTCCCGCCATGTCAGAGAGACTCAGGTAAACTCTGTGCCTGTGGCTTAGATGCACTGGGTTTTTATTCTTTAGTTTGTAACAACACATAAATGCCCTCATTACGCTTTTCTCCAGTTGCAAGGAAGCCCCCTCAGGAGCCCAGTTCATTAAGCTATTCCACTTATTTCACCATCTGATCTGTAATAAAAACCATCTGCCTTCCTGTTTCCTTCTCACTTTAAGCCTATGTGTAAGGACAACTTGTGGTTCATTGTGAAGGGAAATTTCATCTGCAAGGAGCTCTACCTTTGGCTCATCAAATCACTTCGAAACAGCTATAACTTGTGAACGTTTTAAAGAGTAAACAATGTTACATGTTTATTATCATAAACAATGTTACAATGAACGTTGAACCAAACTCCC